TTCCTGCTCATGCTCAAGGTCAGGTAGGATGGGGCTTGGAGCAACCTTGGCTAGAGGAAGGTGTCCCTGCCTGTGGCAGGGAGTTGCAATGAGTTGAGCTTTCAGGTCCCTCCCAACCCAGACCAGTCTGGGATTCTGTGAGGATTTTTCCTGGGATTTGCTCTGCTGAGGTGTCCAACTGTGGTAAGTTGCTCCCTCAGGTGTGTGGTCACCTCCAGTCTGCGCTCTGCCCCCGAGAGTACCTGTGACAAAGCACCAGCAGGGACAAACGCAGCTCCTGTGGCTCTTTGGAGATGTTTCCCATGGGAATTCCAGACTGTACCGGTTCATACAATTCCTGCTTGGCTCTGGGCACCAGGCTGTGGTTATTTCCCTCTGACCTTGTCCCCAGGGTGGCCGGGGGGGGGTGTTGTAGTGTGTTTGCTGTTTTTCTCTGTGCAAGCTTCCTGCTGCCTCTTCCTTCACACGGATCCATCTGAACTTGTTGCTGCCTTTGGTTTTCCCTTGGAATGAAGGGGAAGGTGCTGTCGGCACAACCCACAAAAGCACCTCCGTGGCAGCAGGATTTTCAAAGCCCATGGGCTTGTTGCCCGTGTCCTGGTGGTATCAAAGGGCATTTCACGCTAGAAATACCCCGATGGAGCAGCTCAACATCACCTGCAGCTTCTGAGGACCTCGGGCATCCCACATCCAGGTGGGTGGAATTCGCACACCTGCACAGGGAGATGTCCTTCCACAAAGGGGAATTTGGGAACAGTTTTTTCACAGAAAGGGTTGCCAGGCAGTGGAAGGGGCTGCCCAGGTAGGTTTGGAGTCCCCATCCCTGGAGGTGCCCAAGGAAGGCCTGGCCATGGCACTCAGTGCTCCAGGTTGGGTGACAAGGTGGGCATCAGGCAGACCTTGATCCCAGAGGTCTTTTCCAACCTGAAGGATTCCATGAAAGCAAACCCCATGCCAGCCCCTTCCCCCCGTGTCAGGGCTGGGTTTCCACCCAGACACCTCTTACAGCAGCACTTCTGGCACAACCGGTTCCCCCCGGTGTGAGGAGATTGGTATCAAGTTTGAAGTTCAGGCTGTATTGACAGAGATTTTGTCAACAAAAAGGTGTTGAAGGACGGGGTATTTGTGGAAGAAGTCACAAAGAGGTGAAAGATATCCCCTTCAGGGGTCTCTTTCCTGCCCAACAGGCCTCTGCTTGCTGGTATTTTCCAGGAGAAGCCGGAGGTGTGGATGTGGCTCCACGTCCTTGCCAGCCCGGCTTTGCCAACATCCATCCCAGAAGTGACAGTGGTGATGGTGAGAAGTGACAGAGCAGAAACCAGAGCCCTCACAGAACTGATCTGTCCTGGAAAACGGGCTCTGAGCCTTCACCAGACTGATTTTTGGGACTCAGGCATCCTCTATAGGGTGGTGGCTGAGCCCACTCTGGATGGAGCAACAAGCAGTTCTTGGGTCTTTTCCCATGTCCTTGTGGCTGCTCAGGGGAGTCCCTGCCTTGGGGCAGGGGCACAGCTTGGGGGTCTCCCCCAGTTCTGTGTCCCAGTGGTAGGAAATGAATATTTTTGAGGCTGCTGTTGATGTCTGTCTGGCAGTGGATGGCAGAGTGGAAGTGTGGGCACTGAGCAACAGGGGTTAAATGATGGAGGGATGGATGGATGGATGGAGGGAGGGAGGGATGTGCCCTGCCAGTATCATTCCCTTGGGAAGCTGGAAGAGCTGCTCAGGCTCCCAGGGGAGAGGGGAAGGAATCCCACAGGATTTCAACCACTGGGCTTTCAGAGGGAAATGAATCACCTTCAGGTTTATGAGAGGCTCCATTAATTCCAGGAGTTTTCAGGAGCAGAGCAGATCCAGCGAGAGGAGTGTGGAGAGCTGGGTCCGTGCCTTCTCTGTTTGCTCATTGCTCAAGGACTCTGGAGAAGGAAATTAATTTTAAGTGTTATTTTTCAGACATCTGTAACAGAGAAAAACAGGGCATTGTGTCTCCTCTTGAGATAATGATCAGCACAGGGGAGAAGAAGCTGGAGCCGGCCTGTTCTCACATTCATCCCCACACTGGGATCAGGTAACCTGGCACAAATGTTGTTTTAAGGCTTTTTTTTTTTGTCTCTCACGGTCCTGATTGGGGTGGGTGGAGGGTTTTGCCTTCAGTGGCCCCTGGGCTGGCTGGACATGGATGGTTTCCTCACTCCTACAGTTTCCCAGGACACAGGTGTGAATACAAGGCCACCTTTGCCCAAGTAACACCTAAGTTTCTTCTTTTTTTTCCTCCACACGTCCCCCATTTCCCTATTCCCCTTCCCAAAACCTACCTGTTTTTCTGCAAACCCCCTGGGAGCGTGAGGGAGGATGGACATGGCCCCACTGAGCAGCACAGGAGCATCCCCTCTTCCCACAGCCCCTTCCTCGGGCAGGCTGAGCCCCACCATCACCTCCCAGGATGGTTCTGTACCTCCTGCCGGGCTCTCCTGCCTCCCAATCCATCCTGCACCACTGAACCCAGAGTGTTCCCTCTCTGGGCTGGTTTGTCTCCTGCAGCAGCGAGACCAGAGCCTCGTCTTGTCTGATCAGGGTCAGGCGAGCAAACACTACAAACCCATTAAAACCCCCCGCAATCCCCGCAGCTCTGGTAGCCCAGGGGAGCTCGGGGCGTGCTCCATGATGTTTGAGTTTTCCCAGGGATGCACGTCAACTGGATGGGATCCCAACGTGCCAAACGCAACCGGCCCCTAATTGCATTGTTTCCGCTGATCTCCGACGAAATTATTTATGTGTGCAACAAGCCTGCTTGGCTTCAATAGTCTTTAAAACTTTATATGAGTTTTCCATGTGCTTGTTTGCTAAAAAGAGCCCCGGCTCTGGCAGGTTTGGGTTATTTTTACCCCCCAATTAACTGTGTTTTCTCTCGCTCCCTCGCCTGTATCTTACTCCCTCCCTCTCCCCGGCGGTGCCAGCGGCAGGACAGGGAAGGGGTGGCTGGAGAGGGGCCAGCTTTGGCCTCACATCATTTCTCCCCCGGTCTCTGAAAAACCAGATCCTGTTTGTCATTTGCTCTGCTCTCCCGGCGCTGTGTCATGGCCCTGGCATTGCTGATGGATTTCCAGCTCCGCTCATGGAGCGGGGCACGAGGTTTTCATAAGCGCATTAATCTTGAAAGAAAATCTGTCAGGAGCAAACAATGCCCCCATGAATGATGTTGTAAAGACACATACTAACTCTAAACATCCATTACCCGGGAATATTAACTTATAGGGGAGCTCCATTTCCTCTTACTCCTTTTTAATGGGTACCTGATACCCAAAGTGCTTCCACATTGGAAATTTTGCTCAGAGATGTGAAATTGCCCGAGATAAGCCCCTCAACAGAAGCTTTTCCACTGGAGCTGAAGAGGGGGAGACTGTCAAGGCTGGGAGCTGAGTGCTCCTCTCTGGGGTCTGCTCCCATTTTGGGGTCCTCGTGCCCCCCTGGCAGCGTGGGGATGGCTGGGTACCACAGACCTGCTCCCGAGGAAGGGAGCACAGCCTCAGCCCGAGTGTCTCCTGCCTGGAAGTTATTTTTCATGCTCCCATGTCAGTGGGTTTAGCCACCCCCCCTGCCCCAACACACACACGCTCCTCTTCGGGAAGGGAGCAGCCTGTGTGGCAGGAATAAAACATCTGAGGTTGTTTTAAATGTCCCTTGGAGCCAGGCCAGCAGCACAGGCAAGGAAAAGCTGGTAGCTTGTTTTAATTTAATGGTGTTGAAGTGTTCTACTGCAATTAAGCATCTGAAAATTAAACAGAAACAGTCATTAAGTCTGGTGATACAAACCCACCAGACCAGAGAATATAAATTATTTCAAATGGTAAATGCCAAAGCTGTGTTTATGGTAGGGATGTTTCCCCTTATTAGCCCTTATCTGTTGTTTTAAATAAGAGGAACTTAATCCTGAGGAAATTAATCACTGCAGATGCTGGATCTTGTTGCAGGTCACTCCTTCAGCTGGCAGGAAGGTTTGGGAGAAGGAAAATAAACCTCCAGTGGAAGTGGCCAAGGTGATGTCCATGTCTCCGGAGGGATTCCTGCTCCTGTGCTCTCCCAGTCCCTCCATCCCATCCCCAGCCATCCCAAGGAATCCCGTCTTCTTCCAGCCCGAGCTGCAGACCGGGATTGTTGAGCTGTCAGTGTTGTTCCCTGGTGATGATGCTCCATGTTCCCTGCATCCCGGCTGGCAGCAGCTGCTCCCTGTGGGGGAATGTGGGACCATCGGGCTCCTGTAGGACCAGCACTGGGTCACTCTCCTGGGGTCTCCTCCACCCCCTGGGCCCAGCCAGGCCTTTGGAGGAAGGAACTGGGGAAGGAATTGGTGCTTTGATGCCAGCAAGGAGCGAAACTGGGAAGGCAGAGGTGGCAGAGGGCACGGGGGTGCTGAAAATCCCCCACCTCCTGTGGTGGAAAAGATGACTGAGAGGGGGAAGGATGGGACAAGGTCCCCAAAACCACCTGAGCTGCTGCCTGGGCATACCTGGGGTGTTTATCAGGACAATTCTGGGAAATCAGGGCTCCGTCTGCAGCCAGATAACACTGACAGACAACCTAGATCTATAAAACTTCCAGCACGGGCCGTTCCTACAGTCTCCTTTTACAAGCCTGGCCTCGCTCTGCCGTGACCATCGGCCAAGCCTGGATCAGGTAAGCACAGAAATGCTTGTTTAAATTCCTCATCTTTCACCAAAAGCGGGACTTAAGCCTGGCTTTTAAAGTTAAGCCTGTGTTTTAAGTGCATTCCTGAGTGGGGGCTCTGGGATCTGTTGACGTGAGCAGCGAGCTCCTCCGCCGCCTTCAGTGGGATTTTCCCTGCCCGAAATGGAGTCCAGATCTCCTGAAATAAATACCCCCTCCTCTGTAGATGGGGGACCACATGGAGCCTCGTGAATGCTCGTTCCCAGAAAAGGATCCGGCTTTATTCATGTGCCTGCATCATGTGTGTTAAATTCTCCTGACATCTCCCACAATTCCAGCAAACAAATGGGAACCAGAATAAGATCCCGTGCCCTGAGAGCGCTCTGCTCGTGGTGCCGCTGAGTGAGTGGCAGGAGCATTGTTTGCCAGCAGCCTGTCCCAATCGAGCTTCCACGTGCCTCCCGCCAGCACAAGATGTGAGATTTCATTCCCGTTTTATCCCAGTTACTGGCCCGGCCGTGCTCCAGGACTCGTGGCATCGCTCGCTTCCGATAACACGCAACAACTCCCAGAACCTCTTCCCCTGCAGGGGCAGCGCTGCTCTGACAGCGGGGAATTCCAACAGGGAGCCAGCGTTCGCAGTCCCATCCCAGGTGTTCCCATCCCCAAGGCTTGCTGCTCTTCCAGGTAAGCAGCAGAAGCATTCCCCTGATCTGCACTGTTTCAGGCCTTCCAAGCTGATCCCATGGGATGTGGCTTCCACAGAGAGAAGGAGCCCCCAGATCCATGCAGGCTCCCTGGGAGATGCCTGCCTTCCCACACGATGGAATCTCCCACCCCATCCGCCCCCAGAGCTGCAGATTGGTGCCATGAATGTATTTTCTTACAAGAGCAAAGTACTGGGCCTGTTTTCTGGGAAATACTCAAAAGAAACAAGCTGGAGGGTATTGTTCCCTTTTTCAAAGCAAACTAACAGAGCACTTCCCACCAGACCTGGCCCAGAAAGATCAAAAACCACTTTGGCTTTTCCCTGAAATGAAAATGAAGCTTTCCCAGCCATGTCCTCTTATCCATGAAAAAAACCACTCTGAAAACCAAAATCTTTTGCATCTCAAAACATTTTTACTCAACCCCACACTCCTGAAAAGAAATAAAAAAAAAAGAAAAGAAAAAAAAAGGACTCATTTTGCTCAAAGGACTTTTTTTTGTGCCCTGGAGAAAGACTTTGGTGAAAGCAACTTATAGGGACCTAAATAACTATTGTTTGGTTTATTTTCATTGTCTCCTACCAGTCCTGCAGATTCAGGGAGGCAGAGCAGTGAAGAGAAGGCATCTTTTTGGCTCCTCTCATCTTGAATTTTAAGGGCCTTGTGCGAGGAGGAGCTGCCAGCACGTGCAGGCAGGAATGGGAAGCAAGGGGAGCATCACTGGAACGGTGCCTGGAGAAGGGGATTGAGGGCTGAAGGAGCGATGTGGAGTGGACAAGGCAGCTCTTCACCGCTTTCCCTGCTGTAAATCCCATTTTATATCCCCCGTGTCCCACACGGGGAGAAGTAAACAGAGTTTTGCGATGATCACTCGCAGCCTTTATGGTGGTTACAACGTTCTCTGCCGCTCCCCTCGCCCTGGCCCTGCTGCCTCCACGCCTCCTCACACTGATACAAGTCTCTGCTGGCAAATGATCCCTGAAAAGAGTTTACCTGCCACTAAATGGCTCCGAACCCCGTGAAACGCTTGGGAGCCGCTCCGTGCAGCTCTCTGGGCTGGCTGGAACGACCTGCTGAGCACATCCCTGAGCCGAGGGCTCTGAAGTGTGGCACCAGCCGTGCAGATGCTCAGCACTGCAACCTTCAGGGCTGAATTCAGCACTGTACATCCACCAGCAGAACATTTAACCCGTTGCGTCCCTCGCCACTGTCAATGCCCGGCCAGACGTGGAGTAAACCTGATGGGGAAGGTCTGCTCAGTGTCATCAGGTGTGTCTTGGCTGCTTGAAGGGCCTAGTTAAAGGGGGAGGCAGCGTTGCCCCCCAAAACCGGTATTTGCATCAACCACGGGCTCCTGGCTGGGGTGAGAGCTCGGCAACAGGTTGATGGAGCTGAAGAGCTGAGCAGGTTGTTTCTCTATGAGGTAATGGGTTATTTATTTATCCTGCCTTTCAGGTCACCCTGATGCACATCCCCTCCTTTCCCCCCACAGTCCTTCTCCAGGACTCCCTCGGGATGAGAAGATCCTGCACAAATCCAACAGAGGGCTGTTCTCAGGAGCAGGGGGTGATGTGCTGGATGGATCCACGCCACAGGGCCTGCCTGACGTAAGTGTGAGCAAATGTACCCAAATCTCATCCCAAATATTTTCCAGGAGGAGGAGGAGGAGGGTCCCTGCTCTTCCCCCGGGGCCACCTGCGTGCAGCCACTCTCCAGACACCCCGTGCCAAGCCCAACAATCCTCCCGGTGCTGTTCCAGCCTGCCTGATGTGTTTTTCCACCAGCACGACTCAGCATCCCGTCCTCTGCCAAGCCTGCGGCCTTCCCACTCGGTTGTGGCCAGGAGAAATCCATTTCAATAGGAAAACAAAGGGAATAGGTTTAGCAGCCCTCCAGCCCCGCTGCCGGCGAGCACGTGCGGAGTTTGTTTGCAAAGCTGGGCAGGGGTTAATAAGCTGAGCCCGCAAAGATTTACACCTAGGCCAGGGTTTCCATGTGGGCTTAACGTTAAGCAAGACCTTAATCTAAAGGAAAATATTTGGAGGGAGTTTTGTTTCTCTTTCAGAGCGCTGTAGGACCTGTGAAATATTCACCGAAGAGAGAGGTCACTGTCTGTCAGGCTGGACTCGACGCTTTTTGGGGTTTTTCCGACCTGAATGATTCCATAATTCTGTGACCCCACTGGTATTGGGGGCAGCTGGCCAGGGAGGAGACCAGGACTCATATCTGAGAAGGTGCTGGTTGTCCCTCACAGCACCACCAGAGTCAGGAGGGCTGTGGGTTCCAGCTCTGCAGGAGCCGGGGCTGGATGAGTGTTTGCAGGAGAGGGGTGGCCATTCCCACAGGGAATGCCGTGCAGGACACGTCTGCAGTGTGGGACAGGCGGGGGGCAGAGGAAGGGCCCCAAAGGCAGAGGCTGAGCTGTTTTTTTTGCCACGGGCGGTGACGCTGGGTGCGGGATCGTGGCTTCCACGGCACTTTGACTCCAAACCCTGCCAAATCCAGAGGCTGCTCCTGCCGGACGGTCCCTCGCACGCGGCTGGCAGATGTCGGTGAGCGGGATTGAGCCTTTGCAAGGAACAGCTCTCAGTTGCCCCCTCCCTCGAACCCCCCTCAGCCAGGGCACGCAGTCCCTGTCTCTTAACGCTGACACTGTTTCAGATTCTTCCCCAAACACTTCTTTTGTATTTCTTTAGATTTCAGTACCTGGAGAGGACAGGGGATGGTGTGTGACCGGGCATCTCCAGAGCTGGAGGGCGACAGGCGGGTTCGGGCTGAGCTAAACACCCTGCCACTCCTTGCACGCTGCTCGGGGCACGACGTGAGATTTCAAATCCACGCAGAGCGACTTTCAAGTGATCTGAAACGGTTCCGAGGCAGGAAACCAGGACAAAAAGAAAGGCGGGATATATCGGTGCAATTTATTTAATTTCAAACGCTCTGAGTTGCCCTCAGATCAGCAATGCTTCACGCAAGGATTTTTTATGTTAATGATCCACGATCCCACCCTCATTTTCACATTATGAATCTGTGATCAAAAAATCGTAGTGTTTAGGGGAAAAAAAAGCAAAAAACACCAAACCGAAAAAATGTGGGCGAGTTTGGTGTGTTTTTTCCCCCGTGTGGATTTTGAGGAGCCTTCTGGCAGGGGTGTATTTTACAGAGCGAAATTGCTTTTGACAAACAAAACTGAATTAGTATTAATGACATCAACCTATGGCCTTTACCAGCCTGAAAGAGATAATTAACCAAAATGTCTCAGAAGGAGCTTTGGAGAAGGATTTTGTTTTGTTTTAGCTCTCAAACCCTCTTCCTCAGCAAACAGAAAGCCTTTTTTGGGGCACGGCAGCTGGGTCATCCAACTCCCTGCATTTAGCCCGTGCCAGAAGGCTGGGGAAAAAAATATTGTCGGAATTAATTTCGTGTTCCCTCTGCCACACAAAGCACAGGCTCAGGCACTGAGATAATATTGCACTTGCTGGACGGTTTTCAGTGTGTCTGATTCCACAGCGACAGGATTTTCCAATTTGGATTGATCCTGACAGAAAACAAGCTCCATAAACTCCTCTAAGAGCCATAGCATTCCTGAATCAGTAATGAATCATAGTCAATAATATAACATTATAGTCTAGTATGGTAGTATTAGTTAATACAACAGAATCATATAATGATATAACAATGTAATATATCATGGCGTTACTATATAACAGTATTATCTATTAAAACGTAACAGTATTATAATATTATACCATAAATAATGGAGAATAAATGCTGGTGAAACACGCAGGAACCCCTGCCTTTAACTGTACTAATCATCAGCTGCTGCAGAGGTATATCCTTGATATTTCTATCAACTCTCCCTGATATTTCTCCTTTTTAAGTTTTAAAAAAAGCTTTTGGAGCCTCCTGTTCGGCTGCGGATCCGGATTTTTATTCAGCAAAACGAACGATGCAAAAATCGCACCGCTGTCACACGAGGCATAAAAAAGCACACAAATGCCCGTCAACTTTGGCCAAAAAAAGATGGTAAAATTAATGGTTTTTAAATGTATTTTCAGGCCGGACGGTGCTCACGGAGCTGGCGCTGAAGAGGATCGTGAGAGGAGCGGGGAAGGAGGAGGTGGAGAAGGTAAAGCAGAGCAGGAGCGAATGGAAACCATCTCGGGGAAGGGCGGGGGGGCACGGCCGGAGGGAGCAGGGTTGGGGGGCCCGGGTAGCCCCCGGTGCTGCCGCTGGAGCTCCACGGGGCGCTGAGCACCCCGGGGAGCATTCGCAGCGTGTTATTAATAGGGACACCCCCAATCCGCCTCTCACCTGAGCCGGCTGCCCCCCCGCCCGCTCTGCTTCTCCTTTTTCTTTTCCTCTCTTTCTGTATCCTTTCCTTTTAATTTCTTCTATTTTTCCTTTATTTTTGCCCTTGTTCTTTTTCCTTCTCTTAATTTTTTATTTTCTTATTTATTTTTTCTTTTATCTTCCTTTTCTTTTTGCCTTTCTCGCCTTTATTTTCCTTAATCTTCTACCTCTCCTTCCTTCTTTCCCCCCTCTTCTTCGTTTTCTTTTTCTTCTCATTTTCCTCCTCCTTCTACTTCTCTTCCTTCGTTTTCTTTTCGTTGTTCTTTTCTTTCTTTGTTTCCTTCCCGTTTTCCTCTCCCTCCTTTCCATCCCCGCTATGTCCAGGGCCATATTCCCACAGGGGACGGATCTTGACCATCCCACTCCCTCGTCCCGTCCGGCACCCCCCGGCAGAGCCGCGGGGGGATGCGGGGAGCAGGTGGCGGGGCTGCCCCGGGGGGAGTCGCTTCCCGGGGGGATTTTGTTCTTGGAAAAGCCTCTCCCAGCACTCTATCCCCAGGGAGCAGCGGTGCGGGGCTGGCTGCGACCACGGGGATGCGCGGGGTCCCGCCGCCCCGTCGGAGATGCTCCAGCGCCTGGGCTCCTCCGAGCGCAGTTCCCGAGGGAAAAGACTCCTCCGAGGGTGGGAAGAGACCCCCACGCTCCCGGAAAAAACCGTCCCGTAGGATCATCAGGACAGGGAGAACCACACCTGCCTTCCCCGGCCGCCGTTCGATCGCCGGTTCCCCGCGGGCTGCGGTGGCCCCTCCGCCGGGCTGAGAACGGCGAACTCATCGCACGGACCCCCCCACGGGGGCTGCTGCCGGGTGAGTACCCGGGGCGTGAGGGAATCACGGGACTCCCACCCCCCTGCGATGTTCAACTCCTGTTTAATCGATCCGTTCCCTTTTCCCGGCGCTTTTTCCAGCGCTCAGGCGGCACAGTCTGCCGCGACCCCCGCGTGGGTTCAACCCCCGTCTCGGGTGGGTAGGGGCAGGGGAGGGGGCGTCCGAGTGGGTACCCCCTGGGGGCTTCCCCCCGTGCCCGCCCGCGCGTGGATGCCGTTTGTGTGGATGCCCGCGCTGGTGGGGGCGAGCCCGGGCCCGGGGTGGTGGGCGCTGCCGGCCCCCCTTTAAAGCCCACTGCAGAGCGGCCTTTCCACACCACTGCCCCCGCCGGGCACCCCCCTCGCCCCCCACCCTTTCAGTCGTTTGTGGGGAAACACTCACGATCTTCCCACCGACCTCTCCTTGGGGAGGGGACGAAAATCCACAGGAATGTCCCGAGCACTCGCCCCATCCGCCAAGCTGCTCTCGGGTGTTATTTTTTTTTGGGGGGAAAGGCGGATTCCACTGCTGGGTGGGCTGCAGCGTGTCCGTAGGGGAGCCCACCCCGGGCAGGGCTCCGTGGGCGCCCCCGCCCCCCAAAGCACGATCCTGCCCTGGTGGAGCCCTCCGCGCTGCCCCCGCCCGTGGGTCCCGTCGGGGCTGGAGGCGGGGCAGGTGCGTGTCCACGTCCCGCGTGGGAACAGCGCGGGGAGGGAGCCGGGGGGACCCTCACGCCTTAAGGGCGGGGGGCGTTGGGACCCCCACGGTGGATCCCGCTCCGCCTTCCCGCAGCTCGGGGGATGTGCGGGGCGATGCGCGGGGGGGTCCCACGGGGGTGGCGAGGCTCGGGCCCCGAGGGGGCGGGCAGAGGGTACCGGCCCCCCCGTCCCTCCTCGCCGCGGCCATTTAGGAGCGGGCGGGAGCCAATGGGCGGCGGCGCCGCCGCCGTGACGGCCGGGATTGACGCGATTCCCACGTCAAATTGATCCCGAGGAGCGGCGGGGGCTCCCCGCGAGCGGGGAACCGGCCCGGCGCCGCCAGGACCCCCTGGCCGCCGGCTCCCCGCAGCCCCCGCCGCCCCCCGGGCTCTCTATGCTGGGGCAGGCGCTGCCCCCTCCCCGGGCCGAGCGGCGCGACCCCCGCGCCGGGCGATGGGTGAGTGCGGGCGGCTCCGGGACTGCTCCGGGACGGCTCCGCCGGGCTCTTGGCAGAGCCGGGGAAGGCACCGGGCAGGGGGGAGGCGGCGGGAGGGGGTCTGGCCTGGAGGGTCCCGGCCCGCAGCACCGGGGCCGGCGCGACGTGCCCGGCCGGGAGGGCTCCGTATCCCCCGTTCTCCCCACTCCTCCCTTCGCTTTCGCTCTGCTCTCTACTTGCGGCTCTTTCTCCCGTTCTCGCTCTTTCGCCTTTTGGTTTTTGTACTACTCTCCTTTTTTTTCCTCTTCTTTTTTTCCTCCTCGTTTCTCATTTTTCTTTTTCTCTCATGTTTCCCCGTGTCTTTCCCCCCCTTCTTTTTTACTATCTCTTTGACCTTATTTTTTCTGTCTCTATTTCTCCTTTTTTCTCTTTGTTTCACTCCTTTTTTCTCCTGCCCTTTCTCCTTTACTCTCTGCTTTTTTTTTCCCTTCTCTTTTCCTTCTCTCTTTTTTCTCCTTCTCTTTCCCTCTCGTTCTCATTTTCTTTTTCATTTCCCTCCCCCGTTCCCTTTCTTTCCTTCCCCTTTTTTCCCCCTTCTTTTTTCTTTCTCCCCCCTTATCTTTCTTTCCTTCCCCCTTTTTTTTCCCCTTTCCTTTCTCATCCCTTTCCTTCCCATTTTTTTCCCTTTCCCTCTTCCTTTCTCCCCCTTTTTCCTTTTCCCCTTCTCTTTTCTCTTCCCACGGCAGCGCCGTCCCATTCCCGCTCGCTGTCCGGGCATCCCGCGGGGACCACAACGGGCTCGCCCCCATCCCATCCCATCCATGCCATTCCACGCCATCCCTGCCCTTCCCGCAGAGCACACGTACGGCGAGGTGAACCAGCTGGGCGGCGTGTTCGTGAACGGGCGGCCGCTGCCCAACGCCATCCGGCTGCGCATCGTGGAGCTGGCGCAGCTCGGGATCCGGCCCTGCGACATCAGCCGCCAGCTCCGCGTGTCCCACGGCTGCGTCAGCAAGATCCTGGCCCGGTACCACGAGACGGGCTCCATCCTGCCCGGGGCCATCGGCGGCAGCAAGCCGCGGGTCACCACCCCCGCCGTGGTCAAGCACATCCGCGACTACAAGCAGGGCGACCCCGGCATCTTCGCCTGGGAGATCCGCGACCGGCTGCTCGCCGACGGCGTGTGCGACAAGTACAACGTGCCCTCGGTCAGCTCCATCAGCCGCATCCTGCGCAACAAGATCGGCGGGCTCGCCCCGCCCGGCCCCCCGCCCGCGCTGCCCTGCGGCCACATCTACCAGTACCCGTACCCCGGCCCCGCCGCCCCGCCGCCCGCCAAGGCCGCCGGGCACCCGGCCGCGCCCCTCGGGGCACCCCCCGTGGGGCTGCCCCGCTCCTGGCCCTCGGCGCACTCCGTCACCAACATCCTGGGCATCCGCACCTTCGTGGAGCAGGCGGGTGGGTACCACCAACGCCCCTGCCCCGCCCGCCCCGCGGCAACTGCGCTTCCCCCCTCCCCTCCCCTTTTTTTTTGGTCTTTATTATTGTTATTATCATCATTATTATTATTACGTCTGTTTGGGTTTTTTTGTTTGTTTGGTTGGTTGGTTTTTCTATTTGCTTCGAGGTCTTTGCATGTTTGGATTTTATTTTTCTTCTTCGTTTCGCGGGTTTTGTTTGGTTCGTGCTTTTTGGCTTGTTTTGTGCTTTTTTGCTTGTTTCGGGTATTTTTTATTAGTGTCGTGCCTTCTTGCCTGTTTCGTGACTTTTTGTTGTTTCGTGCTGTTTTGCTTGTTTCGTTCTTTTTTCATTTGTTTCAGTTTTTTGGTTCATTTCGGTTTCGGGGTGGGTTTTTATTATTTGTTTGTTTGTTTCCTTTTCTGGTTTCTTTTAATTTTTTTTTTGCTTGTTTAGTATATTTTGGTTTGGTTTTTGGGGGGGGGGTTTTTTTTTTTTTGTGTTTTTTTTTTTTTTTTTCTGATCCGAGGGCCACCCCCCGCTCCATCAGCCCGTCGGGGCGGCGGGGCCAGATGCGGCCTCGGCTCAGCCACATCTTGAACTTTTTATGAAAAATGTGGAAAATATTTTCGTGGGGATGATAGATTGCCGACCGCAAATTCGGAGCCCTGAATTTCCCTTCGCAAAGGGAAAAAAATTAATATATATATATATGTATATGGAAAGGGGGTAAAAAGGAGGAGGAAAAAAAAAGAAAGAGAGGGAAAAGGCACCTCGGACCGGCCTCCGGGATATCCCCGGGAAATTGTCCCGGTTTTGGGACTCCGGGAGAAGCGGCAGCGCCGAGCCCCGAGCCCCTCCGACTCCGGGGAGGGGACACGGGACGTGGCAGGGGGGGTGCGGGTCCTTTTATCCCTCCAAAAGCCCGAGTAAATCAACCGCATGCGTTTTGCCCCGCGCAATCATTTATCCTTAAAATTCCGATGTCAGTTTTATAAATCTCCTTCGTCAGAAGAGAAATTGGGCCCCCTAAATTAGCGGGGGCTTGGAATTGACGGGGGGGTAGGGATGGAGAGCGGGGTTTGGGGGGGACGCCACAGCCTCTCCCCACGGTGTGCTGCCCAACTTCAGTCCAGGGGACCGTGTCCCGGGATGCTGCAGGACACTGGGAGGGAATGCGGATTCCTGTGCCCCTCTCCATGGGTTTGTACAACCAGGCATTTGTAAACCCGGGATTTCCCCCTCTTTCAGCCCAAAACCTGCTCGGGCCGGGCCCGGGAGGTTCGAGGGCTGACGCTTTGCTCCCCAGGAGCTCTGGCTGGCACGGAGGGGGCTACCTACCCCCCAAAAATGGAAGAGTGGCCCAGCGTGAACAGGACGGGCTTCCCCGCCCCGGGCCAGGCGGTCAACGGGCTCGACAAGGCGGCCATGGAGGGGGACATCAAATACCCGCAGGTGACTGCTGGGGGGGCAGCGGGGTTTGGGGGGGACAGGGAGAGGAGCAGGAGGGGACAGGGGGAGTACGGGATGGGCATTAGTGGGGTAGGAAGAGGGGCAGGGAAGAATAAGGCAGGGGGACAGGGAGGGGACAGGGAAGAGGCGGATTTCCCTCTGCTCCCATTCCCCCTCTGCCCGGCCCCCACCTCCCCGCGGGGGACCCCGACCCGCAGAGCCGGGCGGGCTGTTCTGAGTGCCCCCCACCCCTCTCTTTGTGCCTGTCCCCAGCCCGGCCCGGGGCTCTCCTCGATGGGCACCTTCCTGCCGGCCTGTGCCTACCCCCCCTCCACCCAGCCCGGCGTCTACGGCGGCTCCCCCGGCGGCTACATCGCCCCCGGCCCCCCCTGGCAGCCGCAGGGGACCCCCCTGGCCCACCACGGCCACGGCGTGACCGTCCACGGCGGAGACCTGGCCACGGCCATGGCGTTCAAGCAGCCCGGGAGGGAAGGTGAGCGGGGGGACAGCGTGGGGGGACAGCGTGGGGGGCTGCGGACCCGGCCGGGGGGGGGCTCGGTAAGCGGGAGAGGGGCGGGACGGGGGTGAGGGTCCCCCCACCTGAGTCCCCCCGGTGTTCTCCTGGTCCCCGTCCAGCTCCTCCAGCCTGAGTCAGCAGGTCCCGATTATAAACTGGAAATCGTCTTTCCTCCCCGTTCGCACTCGCTGGGAACAGCCGCGGAAGCCTTTTCCTGACATCCCCCCCCGCCCCAAATTAACAGGTCGGGAGCCTTATAATGACACAGAAAGGCAGAAGTCTTGACTGGGAATTCTGAATTCCTAGTAATTAGCTGTTAATTATTAAGTCGCAGCAATTATTTAACGATTTCTTAATAATTACTAATTGTTATAGGTAACTATTCTTTCATTTAATTTGTTACCTCAACTAATAATTAATAATTTATCTCCGAACGCTCCCCCGAGAACCCCACGGGAGCAATTCGAGGCTCTTAAATGGGGCGGTTGTTTTGTCTCCTGTTAATTATTTCGTCTCATTTATGGAGCTCTATTTCCTCGATGGGTGGGTTCGTTTTTAATATCCCGATTTTTCCGCCCATCGATATTTTTGGCCTTTTCCGGCAGTATTAGAATTTCTATTATTTTAATTAATTTGTAATTAATTCCCCACTTATTAGTCCATTTACATTTAGCTTTTTGGGGGTTTTAATATTTTATTTGTTTCGTTTGGTTTTTTATCCTTTGCCATTTCTGTCTGCTGCGACTAATCCAGGGGTGAGAATAGATAAATTAAATCGATTATTTAAACGGAGAAAAAAAAAAGAGGGAGAAACAGAGAGCAAGAAAGCAAGGTGAGGGAAGGAAAAGGAATGAAAGAAAATGAGGAAAAAAAGGAAATAAAAGAAGGATTTAAAACGACCAAAGGCAGAAATCCGACCTGTGCATACATAGTGTATTTGTGAGGTATTTTAAGCGACTTGAAGCCTGAACTTTCTGATTTGCCGATTTTTAAGCTGTTGTGCCCAAAGGCTCATAGACTTTTCTAAACGTTTGTGGGGTTTTGTTTTGTATGTTATTTTGTTGTTGTTGTTTGGTGGTTTGTGGGTTTTTTGCTTATGTTTTTTAAATTTATTTTTTCTTTCAAAACTGCTTTTTTTTTTTTTTTAAATTTATTTCGAATCGGTTTTCTGGTTCTGCGACTTATCTGGGACATCCCAAATATTGGATTATCGGGCAAAAAGCCTCTCCCCGCCCTGCCGCGAGCTAGGGACTGGAGGAGAAAGGGTGGTCGTCCAGTGGGATGGGCTAGGGGGGGGTTCCTGGCCCCCGGTACCTGCAGCGAGTGCAGAGAGCGGGGAAAGGGTGGAAAGAAGGAGTGAAAGACCAACAGGCAAACTCAGCCAGGCAATTTCACCCTCGAATTTCAGAGCTTTTCCAAATTCACAGATTTTCACTGAGAACTCCCCCGCTTATCCCAGTGCCCCCGGCAGGCCCGGGATAAATATCCCCTCTCCGAAGGCAGCGGGTGGATGGTGCGGGGGGATTCCCGTGGCCTGGGCCAGCCTTGGGCGGAGCTGGGGCTGGGATGGAGCTCAGCAGGAATTTCACTGCCACTGGAATGGTGTGACGGTCCCGTCCCCTTCCTCTCCCCGGCACTGGCTGAGCAGTCCTCTCCCAGGGCACTCCAGCTTTAAGGAAGTGCGTGGGATGTGTTCTGTGTGTGGCTGGGACTGGTGTGGGTCCCCTCCCCAGGTAAATCGCTGACAATGCCCTCACCATGGTCCCTGTCACTGGAGGGGCACATTCCCCTTTTCCCTCTCTGTTTCCCCTGGATTCGAGGAGCCTGGCAGCCCCTCTCCAAAGGAGTGCCTTTGCCGGGGGCTGGATGAGGAGCCCTGTGGGGCAGAACTGCTCTTGGGGGGCTCTTGCAGGAGGGTCTGCATGCTCGGAGTCCATCAATCCCCTACCTTGTTGCCTCGTTTTTCCCTCTCCACCTTTCTTGCAGTCGTGGACAGAAAACCCACCAGCCCCGTGGGGAAACCTCCGGACCCTCTAAACACCATCCATGGACTGTCTATCCCAACCTCCTCGTCCTAGAGCCCTGGAGCAGCCGCGAGGGACAGGGACTCTTGGAATAAGCACCTGCAAACTGTAACTGAAGCCCCAAGTGCCATCGAACTGTATCCACAGTGCCACTGCCACTGCAGGGACGAGGAGACAGCCTGGGCAGCGAGAGGTGACACTTCTCCCATGGCAAATCCTGGTCAGGACATTCCCAGAGGGACACTTTACCTCCATTGGATTGGAAAGGGTGACAGAAGAGACTCAGTCTTCCTTCTTTATTTTGTGTTTTTTTACCCCTTGCTTTCGGTTGTTGTTTCTTGTTCCCCGTGTCCCCAAAGACTGCAGGATGCAGTGAGTGCCTCTGTCCCCAGCCACTGCTGGGAGCATCCCTGGCTCTGTCCCAGCCCAAGGGAGCAATTCCTGCCTTTCCCACACCAGAGCATCTGTGCTGGAGCCCCTTCTCCACCCACCTTCCAGTGCCTCTGCCCCAGAATAGGAATGGACAAATGTGCCACGATGTTTTATGATATATTTTTCTAATAACAAACCTTAATAAAAAGTGACAGCTGTGGGCACACGCTGCTGACCTCCCTCCCTCCCTCCCTCCCTCGGGGTCTGGCTGAGCATCATCCCTTCTCCCGGGGCCTCCCAGCCTCAGGCAGCATCTGTGAGTGGGGGTAGGATCCTGTTGGATCTCGGGTGCCCTTGGAATCGCCCTGTGCCAGGCCTGGATTTGTGCCCCCACCCCAATGTGAGTGTGTGGCAGCTCTGCACCCCACGCTGCATCCTGGGGTTCTCCCGCATCCAGGGGGTCCATGGCCTCACTGGGTGACTCCTGGAGGGGCTACAGGGAGTCCTGGCCACCTCCCACCCACCTCACCTGGTGCCGGGGGGCTGCTGGGGGCTGCCCACCCACCAGGGCTTGTCACCCCGTCAGCCCCTCCTGCCCAGCCGGCTGGGGCGGTTCAGGATGGGCTCCACGGGCTCTTGCATTCCCTGGCTCCACCAGCTCTGCCACTGGCGTCGGTCCCTTCATTGTCTGCAGAAGGGGAAGGTCCTCCAGCAGGGCAGGGAGGAAATATCCTGGCAGGAGAATACACGCCTGGCTTTCTGCAGAGAGGACGTCTCTGTGGGAGGGAGAGCGGGAGGGAGTGGGATGCCAAACGCATCCCACCGCAGGAAATTAGTTTGTCTTCATCCTCGGGGTGGCAAGAGTCAGTTTTGCCTCTGCTGCTGCAAAGCCTTCAGTCAGAGCCGGGCTGTGCATCCCACGGCAAAGCTCGGGAGGGGAAAGGAGGGAATTTTAAATAGGTGAGAGGATTGTCCCAGGGCAAGATCTGCTGCCAAACTGTCACTGACTGGATTCTAAAGGATGTGAGGATGGAGGAGTCACCTGAAACAGATGCCTGGTTAGTCCCTTGCCAGGTTTATCCATTCAAAGCTCCATTCCAGTGTGTGGCAGAGCAGCTTTGGAACGATGATGGACAACAACACCCCTAAAGCATCGGTGTTTGCTGTGTGCTGGGTTCTCAGCACCCCACTGTGACTGCTCATTCCCCAGCCCAGGTAGGATGGGCAGTGCTCCTGCACCCTGTGGAGATGGGACAGGGATGGGCAAGGCAGGAGTGCTGGATTTGGGCAGGGACACAGTGCAGGGTCCAGTCCTTCCCATCAGTGTCCTGCAGGGATTGTGCGTGAGTGCCTGAGTTATTCCCTGAGTTATTCCCTTCCAAGGCTGTGATGGACCTGCCAAAACCTGGGACAACAGCTGGATGCTGAGCACCCCCCAGAGCCCCAAGGCAGAGGTGTCCCTTGCAGGGTCTGGCTGGGCAGGGGCAGCTGAAGGAGCACCATCCGAGGGCAAGGGCCATGTCCCAAACCCCAGGGCCTGGACCTGCAGCCCCATCCGTGTGCTGTCAGGTGGAATTTGCCACCAGAGGGAGACCCCCTTGTTCCAGAACAGCCTCCTGCTGCAGCCAACAGGGAAGCCTCACCTTCCCAGCGGGAACAGGCGGACACACGGAGTGTATTCCCGGCTGCAACCTGTTCCACTGCAGGTACCGAGGGCTGAGGGGGCCACGAGAGCAGGGTGGCTTTTGTGTACTCAGGATTCTGGTTCCTGCTCTTTTCTCGGCTGTTGGACTGGCAGCAGCCTCTGCTAAAAATGCGACTTTAATGATTTTGTTTGGAGAAGGGATTTTCTCATTAAAAAGTGCAACCCCAAACGTGTCTCCGTGCCCAGCAGAACTTCTGGTGCAGGCAGAGCAACCAAAAAGCCAAACCTGGTGGCCTGTCCCACGCAGATCCACTGTCACCTCTTGGGGCTGGTGCAGGACACCATGGCTTGGTGTCCCCAGTGAGGAGGGTTCAGGAAAACCTTGCTGGGTGGAAAACACTCTTAGTACCTGTATTCCTCCGGGAGCAGGTGGAGTCCCTCCTGGAGGCCAGCAGCCATGGGGAGAAACCTTGGAGGAATTCAGTACCTGCCTCATATACCTCAGGTAAGTCATTCCCTGCCATGGAAAAATGCTGGGAGCAGAGATCCCCAATAAATCTCGAAATAAAATCAGGCCCTTCAGCAGGGTGACGTGAGGTGCTGCTCTGCCTCGCTCACAGCACATCCCTGCTGCACAGGCACACAGGCATAGCCCAGAAAAAACTGGACCTGAGGGGAGCAGAACTTTTGGGATTGATGTAACAAAGCGAGAGGGTGGAAACAATAATCTCTGGCACTCCTGCAGTGATGGTCTCGTCAAAATTGATACCACCCCTCTGAGTGTGTCAATTCTGATGAACTGGTGCTCTCTGTCTGAAAAAAAAAACCCCAAACCCCAGGTTAAAACTGCTCCCACCAGCTCTACCTGTCCCATAAATATTTAGCAGTGATTGGAGGGTGTGGAGCAGGATGGATAACGTTACAGACCTCGCTCAGACCTGGGCTCTGTTACTGGAGACTCGCTGGTGGACCACGGTTTGATTTGCTTTTTAGCCCACATACAGCTCTCAAAATTAGGCTGGTGCAAATCTTTTGGGTTCTGTGTAACTAAATCCTCAGCCCTGTGGAGGAACACACGAGAATCCGAGCCCAGCTCTCGAGAGAAGTTGCAAATCCAACCATCATTTGCAAAGTTATAAACCTGCCCACAACGGCTTAAGTTGTGTTAGAAAATGGGAATTTGATTCCCAGGTTACTCAGGCAGTTCATAACATTTCCTCCTAATAAACAGTTTTTCAGTTTAGGTGGGGGACGAGACTGGACCAGCCCACCAGCAGCGCTGGTGCCCATGGAGACCTTCCCCATAACCCTTCTGGCTGCTCACAGCCCATGGCCAAAGAAAAATCCCAGCTCAGCTCCTCATTTCACAGCTTGAGATGCCCTGTAACTGTCCCCAGCCACGGAGTCTTCTAGAAGAGCATCGATTTCCTGAGGGAGTCTTGAGGTGGGGAGCCACCAGAAAAAAAGGTTGGTTCTTACACTGCCAACAATTTTTAGGGGAAAATTCAGATTACTTGTGTTAGTTTGAGCAAACCTGGAGTTTTCACTGGAATTAGATGACTGTGGCACTGAAAGTCACCCCTTTGCCCAGTGTCTGAGCTCTGCCATTCCCTGTGGGACAGCCCCAGGATGAAATCCCCCAGCCCTGCACGGAGACAGCAGTGTCTGTGCTCCCCAGGGAGTCCCAGAAGTGATGGTGATAATCCCCCCAGCTGCAGCTCTGTCACGGAAGCCCCCGCTGATGTCGGCACCTCGTACAGCTGCAATATTTATGTCGCTGCTCGGTGTCCCAGCTGGCTGCTCTCAAAGTGAGAGGCTGGAGAACAGGCTTTTATTCCCTGGAGGTGCTGAGGGAGGTTTGTGATCTGAAGGTTTAGAGGAGAAACATCAAGGGTGTGTGGTGTGTGTGGGGACCAGCAGTCACCTGGGCTGGAGCTGCTGCAGGAGGAGAGTGGAAGGAGCTCAGCTGTGTCTGAGTTCTGACAAAGGCTCCCCTCAGTAATTTGTAGAAAGCTGGTGATGATAAATCCAAGGAAAAAATGTCCTGAACCCTAATTGCAGTGTTACTCAGCCACCAAGAAGCTCTGTGGGTTTCGGTCTCCTTGCAGAAGCTTCCAAGTCGATGGATTTTGGAGCAAGCTGGGGAAGGAAGATCAATGACTTGCACAGGGATGACAAGTCTTTCCTTCCTTTACTTGGTACTACCGATAGGAATGTAATATTTCCCTTGGGAAAACACCCCTCCCCGCCCCATCCCCCCTCCTGCAGCATAAATATGAAAGCATTTTTAATCTCGAAGTTATATTAACCTGGCAAGGCCCAACCAAAGCTTTCGCTGCGGCTCTCCCGGAGATAGCACTGTTTTGGCACCAGGCTCCCAGAAAGTGATGTCATGCGGAATTTATATGCCAGAGTTTTCCCTTTCTTCTTCAGATTTGTGGCAATGTCAAAGTTCTTCTCCGGAGCAGATCTGGTTTTAATATTTCATATTTACGTTTCTCATTTCGGGGCCGGCTGGAACCTCTTCTGGTTTCAACCTTGCAGATGCTGACGCGACGGAGGCTGGGACGGGCGAGGAAGAGGAGCTGGGAGGGATTGATGGGCAGCCTTGGTTTCCTAAGCCTTGAGAAGTGGCCTTAAAATAGCCCCTGCTTATTTCTTAGGAGCTGTAATTGCCTCTGCTCCGACCCGCTGCTGTTCCCGTGCCCCTTCCCACAGGGAAGACCTCCCTTTGCCAAAAAGGAGGCCTGGCCGGCGCGTCCCGGCCGCGGTGGCCTGGCTGGAGCTGCCAAACCTCACGGATCACATGAAGTCCCAGGGATGTGCAAGGCCCAAGGGGCAGCCCTGGCCCAGCAGGACCACGCACAGGGTCCCACAGAATCCGTGTCCCGGGGGTGGAACCCGTCGAGGGAGGGCCACGGTTGGCCTTTTCCTGATCCCAGTAGAACACAGGAGGTTTGTGGAGATGGGCAGGGTTTGGGTCCACAGCAGCAACCCCAGCTTGGGCTGCAGTTGCCTGGTGGGCCCTGGGGATCATCCAAGGGAGAAAGTAACCGGGCTCGCAGCAACCAGCGGGAATAAAGCAGGGTGGGATCAGGCAGCTTTGGATGATGCTGGTCGCAGTTTTGTTGTGCCACGAACCCTTTTCTGCAGAAACACTCTGAAGCCAGCAGGGTGTTTGTCTTTTTTTCTGTCTTGAGTTGCCAAAGAGTCATATTTTAAAGTTGGGAATAGCTGTCAGCATCCAAGCACGGCCCCCGGAGCCGATGACGCAAATATGACAAGAAGCGAGGTCAGATTACAAATCAGGCCACTTCAAAACCTCTCCCGGCAAACGGGAGGGTTGAAGAAGAGAGACAAAATGTGCTGAGAGGGAAAAAAAAACCCCAACAACCACCCGGCAAACTGCTTCCTAATCTGCCTGAAAG